CAGGGGCGGATCTTCATAGGGACAGGGGGGAGCCACGGCTCCCCCAAACTTTTCTAATTTTTTTTTTATATATATATATTAATATTATATTTATATATTATTATATTATTAATTATAATAAAACTAAAAAAATTATGTTAAAAAAGAGAAATTCTAATTTTTTTAATTAATAAAAAAATAATTTATAATTTTATATATATATATGAAAATAATCTGGCACCCCTAAAAATAATCTGGCACCCCTGAAAAATTTTTTCAAGTTCCGCCACTGAAAGTATGTATGAGAAGAAAAAAAGTATGAGATAAGTAATGAAAATTATAGTTGACCGAAAAATCAACATAATTAGAATTGGCATGGTCGACCATGAACAAACAAAAATTATTTATTTTTTATTATTTATGGACTTGTTATATAATTGTATAATTGTGTTTGCTTAGTTATGTTTATTTTGTGATTTTTCTCGAATGGTGTGAGGGGGTCATAGTAGAGGCATGACACCCTTGTTTTTAGTATTAAAATATATAAAAAAAACTTTTTAAATTATTTACTTTATCAAATTTGTTCATTTTAATTCCTCCTCTAATTATTGCTTTACTAATGCCATGATTCCTTTGCATGTTACAAATGAATATGACTTTATAGAGTTTTTGAATTTTATATATAATAATACCTTGAACATTATCTCACCACCTACTCTATTGGATGTGTTAATGCTTCTAACAAATTTAAAGTTATTTCCTATATAAGATATTATTGACAAAATTGAAATCGCTTCTTTAACATTTTTTAGATCACTTAACTGAAGAAGGTTTCGTATCAAGTTTATAAATATGCTTGCAAGAAAAAAATGTAATACCTTCCTGTATAAAATAATGAAATATATATTTATTAACTAGACATAAATCCCTCTTCAATTAAGTAAACTAAGAAATATCAAGAAACAAGTTCAAATTTGTCTATAGTATCTCATACAGGAAGCAACTTCAAATTTATCAACAACCATCAACATATCAAATAAAGCAGGTGGTAAAGTAATGTTTGAGATATTACTATACATAAAACTCATAAGCTCCATAAAAACAAATTCCTCTGTAACATGCAAAGGTAGACATAATATTAATAAAGCAATAATTAGAACAAAAACTAAAAGGAACAAATTTGATGAAACAAATAATATAAAAAGTTTTTTTATGAATGTTAATACTAAAAGCATTAATTCTTAGGGTGACATGCCTCCACTCTAAATCCCTTATTCCATTTGAGAAAAGTCCCAAAATAAACACAAGAACACACAATTTTTTAAGTCTAAACCAATAGAAAAAAAATTACTTTGTAGAAGAAAGGGCTTTTGACAATCAAGATAATAGAACTAATGAGTAGTGTTCTAACTCTCATAATTACAGAGCAACGCATATTCCAATTTGAATCATTGCGATTTGCAGCCTCATAACCTATGTTAACAATAACCAACTTAAATCATTGAGAAACACTGACAATTTCAAGAAAAGATATGTTTTTATTCGTGCAAGCAAAATGAGAATGTTTTATTTTTATTATTATCTTTCTTTATCAATTATGTAACTTCCTTTACATACTAATTTCACTTTTCAAAAGGAAACTTGTTTAAAGCATACCGAACTTTTAGATTCAAGAATTTCATTTAAAACACACATGCTTTTGAAACCCAAAGGAATATGTGAGTGCA